AAATAAATAAATAAAATCTTTAAAAAATTTAAAAAAAAAAAATAAAAGAAATAGAGAAAGAACAGTGTAAATCCAGGGAGAAAAATAATGCTGAAACATGTCCTGTCTTGCTGAAGAAACAGAATTTATAGTTCTAACCCAAGGACTTCCAGTGTTAGCTGGGCATTAAGGAGTAACATTCTGGTTCTCTAGGGAGTTGGAGTTTTTCCTCTTATTTTGAGAGGATCCACCTTAATCTCTAGCCTCTCTGCCATCCTTTATCCCTGTTCAAATTGGACTCTATCTTTTTTTTAAAAGATTTTATTTATTTATTTGACAGAGAGAGACACACTGAGAGAGGGAACACAAGCAGGGGGAGTGGGAGAGGGAGAAGCAGGCTTCCCACGGAGCAGGGAGCCCTATGTGGGGCTCAATCCCAGGACCCTGGGATCATGACCTGAGCCAAAGGCAGGTGCTTAATGACTGAGCCACCCAGGCACTTGCTATCTTTCAACAAATTCCATCTTTTCTTCTCCTGACAGAAGTTTTTCTTCCTTTTCCACTTAAGAATCCATTTTTTTTCCTTGATGTCTTTTTCTATTGAAATGCTATAGCAGCTCCTATCACTGATCCCTTATTCATAAGCAGAGTTTTCTCACTTTTCCCTTGATTAGTCTTAATTTATCATTTGGATTGAAACTTCTTGAAAACAGTGTCTTTATTTTCCCCCTTTTTTGAGGGGGTGGGAAGGGTTGACAATGCTGCGTATCAAGTAGGGATTCAATAACTATTTGTGGATTGATTTATTTTAAATCATATTTCCTGTTAATGACCCCCTTTACTTGCAGAGTATTATTATCAGCAAAATCTAGTACATCAAAAGGATCTGAGAGGGTTTATCATCTACTGTGATGAAGCTGGAATACAGCTTTGGTAAAAGAAGAAATGAAATTTGTGTTTTAACACTAAGTTTGCAAGACAAAAACAAAAAACAAAAAAAATCACTCACAAGATAAATCCAATGTGACTTCAAAAGGACCATAACATTGGTGAACAGCCCCAAGAGGGAAAATAATCTCTTTTGCAGGTTCTATTATTGCTGGTAGGTTTTACCGGTTATTCTATTGCCCTATTGATTTATTTGCAAAAACTGAGGAAGGTTTGGTGTTGTTTCCATAAAATTGGGAAAATACAGACAGACACGAACAATCAGAATAAAAATTCAATTGTATTACTGTAATAAAAGTCAATGCTCTATCTTGATTTACATATGCTAAATTACTTAATCCTCATAATAATCCCATGAAGCAAGCAATTTTATTATTCTCATTTTTTATATACACAAACTGAGGCCCCAGAAGGTTAAGTCACTTGTTCAAGGTCACACCGCAGTAGTGGAGATGACACTTGAACTCAGCCAGTTCAGCTCCAGAGTCCATGCTCCTAAACACTACTATCCCTGCCCACATTAAAATGCATACGCTGATTAGAACCAGACCTGGGGACTGTTAGCAAACTTAATACAGAAAACAATTTCCAAATACATTAAATAAGACATAGGACCTATTATTGTACAATTGTGACTAAATTCCCAATCCACTTTCTTCTAATTTAGCTGAAACATTTGCACATTTTGAATTTTAAAAACTATGTGTTCAGCTGAAAAGCAGTACTTACATATGTTGAATTGAACTTGTGCCACAGGATTTTTGAGTTGTTGACAGGAGTGGAAATGTCACGGATGAAGCTGAAACATCTCTGAATATGGCCTCTCAAGTAGTGTAAATATGAATAATCAAAGTAAGAAACAGTTGTGCTTGCAAAAGCAAGATACTATTTTCAGTTGCTCATCTAAAACAAATGTCTTTGGAACTCTTCACCTAGGCGCAAATCCCATGTGTTCAAGCCTTCTTCTCAAAACTCCTTGTGCCTTCATTCTACCCTCCGGACTCTGCAGGAGTATCTGACCTAAGACCTATTCCCTTTTCCTAAACCAGCCTCTTCCCTCCCTCAAAACTCAAACACCCACTCTTTCAGGCTAGAAGGAATCCACTTAGTCTGGGAAAATTAACATAAAAATGTGAATGCCCAGTGGCCCCTGAAATTTTCCAAAGGCTTTTGTATTTTAAACAGAGGATACTTTGATAGCCTGAATGAATCTCTAATGGTGGTATCTGGAGGGTGAAACAAAGGAAATCAACAGAGATACAGTGATAGAGAGGGTGGTATTTCAGAGAAAAGGATTCATAAGAAATTGTTCCTTCCTAAAAAGAAGAAAAAACGCCTTCTTTCCACTTCAGAAACAATAGATCGAACATCTAGGTTAGATCAAATGTGGGGAGTTTGTCCCCAGAAATGTTCCTACTACTGAAGTGGGGGAAGAAGTTGCCATTCACATGCAAAGATCCTTTGAAAGGGGGGTTTGTAAATTGGGGATTGCCTGGATCTTTCGTATCACAACAAAGGCATCCCATATAGGTTAACTGGGAAAAGGGGTGAATCAATGATTTTATAATTCATTAAATAAAAAATTATTACCATTAAGTACTGTGTTAGATATTGGAATTCCAAGGGAGAATTTAGTTTGTATTAAACTTCATTGTGAGCTGCCTGCATATATAAAGTATTCCAACAGATTTATTAATTTAATCACTCCCTATGTTTGATATTAGGGATACAAAATGAATTAGCTATTCTTCAAGGAACTCATAATCCAGTAATATATATATTTCTATGCTTATTGTAGAGTTATAATGCCATAGTAAGTCTAGGTATAGGAAACCATAGTTATTTTGACCTGTTTTTCCAATAGAGTTGTCATATCTTTTGGAAACTCAAAGAATTTTAAACAGATGAGTTTATCTTTAAATAAGCACTGACCCACCTATCCACACAGCAATTTCTCCTGTTTCAGTCTGAGGACTCAACTCTCAGCTTCCAGAACTCTATTTCTGGTTAACAGGAAGATGAGATCTGTTCTTCACAGGTAATTTTGTTTGATGGACATCTGTAAAACTTTCCAGAGAGCATCCAACAAATATGGCCAATAAGTTTCAGCTGGATCTATAGGAAAATGTCTTCATCTATTTTAGTTCCAGTTCTGCTAATCTAATTAAAACCCTGTTAATTCCCCAAGCCAGAAATTCTCTAAAGGAAATACAACTCAGAGTGTTGCTAGGGTAAGGAACCACTTCCAGGGTAAAGAGCCCTAAAGGTATGGAAGAGAGAGAGAGAGAGAGTGTGTGTGTGTTCCTGTCCTCCAGCCAGATTTTCTGAAGAAAATGGAAAGCAGATCAAGAAGGCACGCCAATTTAAAGATTGGTGGAAAACTGCAATTTCACTTAAAGTAGTAGGTGGCAATAGCATGAGATTATGACTAAGAAAAAAAAAATGAGGAACACATGAAACTTGGAAATACTCGATATCAGAGGCTTGACCAGAGAAGACAAAGGCCGTGCTAAGAATCTGCTGTAGGAACATACATGAATAAAAATTAATGTCACTTCAAGACACCTAATAGACCACTAGTAAAAATTCAGAAAACATCAGATGTATCTGATGCCTCCCCAAAAGTGAACAGCCTTTTAGAGATCCTGGGGGTGGCCTGAACCTCCCCGGGAGTCAGAAATGCATGCAGGGCTTTGAGAGGTCAGACATTATGTGCACCTGATTTCCATATTATATCTCTTACAGATCAAATCATTTTTATGTATAATATTCCAAGTGGAATAAACTATATATGTGTGTGTGTGTGTGTGTGTGTGTGTGTGTATAGATGTGTGTAGATATATGTGTATATAAATATATACTTTTTAAAAAGAAGTCTGCTGGTAGATCACACCAAGTTGTCTTACAAGGTGTATTCTCCCAAGAGTATCCTATAGGCATTTCTTCTTTATGTCAAGGCACCCTAAATAACATGCAGTTGCTTTAACTAGAGAACAAAGAACACCTGGATTAACTTACCTAAATGCAATCTAAAAATAGTTTATAATAGTAAATTGATTTTAATATACTGATTTCAAATTCCCAAATAGATTTACTTTGAATGAAATAATGAATATATATTATTTCTTAAATTACATTTCTTTTCTTGATTTTAATGCGAGTCCTGAAGTAGGTCATGAGCTATCACATAAAAATGTGATGAGCATGTTATATGCAACTGATGAATCATTGAATGCTACATCAGCAACTACTGATGTACTATATGTTGGCTAATTGAATTTAAATAAAAAAAATGGATGGGAGAAACATGAATGAAAGATGGGAGGAAACAAATTACCTTAGATGAGCAGTTTAAAAGCTAAATTTTTCAGTCATGGTGACTGAAACACTAGGGAAATTCCATCTAAATGAACATTACAATTCATATTTAACAAAAATTAGTAATTATTGCTTCGGCATCTCAAGCAATAAATGATCAATACATAAAACAATCTTTTTGGCTAGAGAGTCATATCTGCTTCCAAGTTAGACATTATTTTTATCTGAGTGATATTTTAAAATATTAAATGAATAAGATTTAGGGGCGCCTGGGTGGCTCAGTCAGTTAAGTGAACAACTCTTGATTTTGGCTCAGGTCATGATCTCAGGGTCATGAGATCAAGCCCCCTGTCGGGCTGAGTACTTGGCAAGGAGCCTGCTTAAGATTCTCACTCTCTTTCAGCCCCTCCCCCCCCACTTATTCAAGCTCTAAAATAAATAAATAAATCCTAAAAAAAAAGATGAGCAAGATTTATGTATAGTAGACAAACCACTTAATATCTCAGTATCAAGCTGGGTCTAAGTGATCCCACAGGAAGTATCAACTTAAAAACAGTCATTCATACTTAATAGCATAGAAACATATTCAGACTATTTAGTTATATAAAAAGTAACTAGTTATAAAATGGCATGTACATCATGGCTCCAATCATATAAAAATGTATACACAATTATATAAATGTTTATATACACAAACTCTATACACATAAATTAATAGATACAAGTGGAACACGTGCACATATGAACATGACTAACAGAACATACTCCCTAAAAGTAATTATTACATGATTAAGTAAAATTGATATATATGCCTCTATTTTTAGAATTAGACACCAAACATGACACTGAAATCAACTTTAATATTTCTACTTTATTTTTCTATCTGAAAATCATTTTGACAAACTAAGGATTTAGAAACATATCTCAACAAATGCCATTTCTTCATTTTTTTATGAGGTTGTAAGGAGGTATCATTCTGGGAACTTGGCAGCAGTGTTTGGGAAAAAAAGACAAACCAGCAAATAAATTAAAAACACTCCCCTCCCTCACTTTACTCTGGGCCAAGGGTATCAGTTCTAGGTTCAAAAGCAAGTATAGATTGGAATACACTTTTTAAAAAAAAAATCACTAAAACTAAGGTTTTAGACTGTTCTAAGGCATTACGTAGAAATTTCACAATAGCATCAGTGGTGACTAGGAATTTTGTGCATTTGCTCGGCTCTTGTTTGTGTGTTTTAACTAAAAAAAAAAAAAAAGGCAAGTTAGGTATTACTCACTTTGGGGCCTTGCAGTCCTGGTTTTCCTGGAGGACAAACACAGGGAGCTGGAGTTGAACCTACATCACTGGGACCATTGAGGCACTAGAGAGACAAAAACGGCAATCAACAACAAACATGGAAAGACACATGTATATCTATATGTACATAAGTATGTGTAGGTGTCTGAATGTCTTTATGAAACTGTAAAGATATCTTACATCTGCTTTCCAATTTTGTTTAGCACAATCCATTAAGAAATTCTGAATCACAAACTATGAAAACTAAATGCACTCAAACTACATAAAAATGAGTTCTATTGGTCTAATGTACTTACAGTTGATGGAAGGAAGCTAAACAGTCCCACAATACAAATATTACCTTAAGGAGAATAATAGTTTCCAGGCCTACCTCACCATTCTGAAAGAAAAACAACAATGAATGTGTTTTAAAGGACGCTTTTAAATTTCTAAATTATCTTCCTAATTTATAGATATTTTATTGTCCAGGTTCTAGATACATGAAGTATCAAAACCAGCAAGAACTAAAACATGTACGTGCCACTGTCCTAAAAAAATGACATTAATACACGTTATGATGACATTTACAGTAGAATAAAGTAAGGACATGAACAACAATGAAGAGCAGAACGAGAAAATGGAAATGCCAAAGCTGCTTGGTGTAATGGTCACGCAGGAGCAAAAATACTCCAAGGTGAGATTTATATGCTCTTTTGAACTTTCTGGAAGTCATATAAAAACCAGAGGAAAAAGCCAAAACACATCTAAGAAAGTCACAAATTCCATGCATTAAATTTTCTGCATTTAACTTTAGGAGACCTCCTCACTAAACAATTTGCTTCTTACTGAATAATACACGATTTTAAAAAGGTTAATAATCTTTCCAGACAATAAAAATTAAATCAGAAAATGAGAAAGTGGGAATAAAGATGCAAAAGGTATGCTACATGAAGTCACACCTGAAAGTAAGGAAGGAGACATAAAAACACAAAAAAAGTGACTGTGAGAACTCAAAATCTACTATCTATTCTTGTGCTTTTATGATGTGGGAGGGTAATAGTCATAACATCAATGCAGAAATATCAATAAATAAAGTATATAAAATGGACTCTCAGAATGTAATCACATATTAATACTTTTAGGAGAGATTAGAGGTCTGTATTTCAAGTTATAAGTATCTAAAATAAAAATTATAGTGTTTAAACAATTACCTCTCTAAAAAACCAAGAATGAATCATTTCTAAAAGGTTCCATGGTTGATATTATTATAGAGCATTTAAACGTACTGCCCTATGTCCTCAAGTTTTCATAACATGTGGATTTGTAGGTTATTCAGTTTGATAGGAAAAAAAGATGATGGTAGTATGACTTTACAAACTAAAAGAACTATGACATGAGCTCAAACTGGGAATCCACACTGTAAAAGTTTAAAACATCCTATCTTATTTGCATTACAAAAATATACTTTTTTTTTTGCCCAAGGGGAAAAGGATTACACATACACACACACACCACAAGCACACGTATATAATCAGACTCTAACATTTTAGCTTATCATTTTTTCCTAACACATTAATGAAAATAGCTACATAAATGGAAAGTTACTATATCCTTGAAATACAAGAAAATCTTCCTTAGGTAACAACAACAAAAAGAAACCTGTATATTCATTATGGTGTGAGAAAATATGCTGGTGAACAGGAAAATGAATCACTTCCTATTCTCTAGAATTGTGCTGTGTGGGGTATTCTATCCACACATTTAATTAAGTATAGAAATGTATTTTATACTCTGGATACTCCGGATATTCAAAGAATCCTAGACTTTCCTAGAGCAGGTCCAGTCCTGCTTCACTTGAGTACCGGAAACCTCACACTCTGAGGTGTAAAGAAAACCTTCCCTTGTGCTCCTCCATTCACACTTGCACAGTGATACATTATCATTTTATTTCAATTATGAACCTCAAAGTATGTTTTAATCAATGTAACTTTAATTGCACTGACAACAAACAAATTAACTCTGTATATTAAATTAAGCCTCACATATTATCTTTTATTTATTGCTCTGAAAGTACTGAAGGAAACACTTGAGAGAAAGAATCCATCCTACTCACAAATCCAGGAATCTCGCATGCTGTCTCTCGGTTGTTCTGTTCTGGGTCACAGTAGATTCGCAACTTCTGGACATCAAACTAGGAACATAAACCCCATCAGGTTAAAATTGAGGCCCAAGCTAATTGCTTCGTAAGAGCGACCCAACTACATGAGCAGTCATGGAAGGCTTAAATCACAGCACCTAGCTAAAAAATAGTAATATGAAATTTAAATACCTAACATACAGTTTAAAGATGTGATGCAACATAATTCATAAGGAAAACTCCAGCACCAAAAACAAAACTTTAATTTCCTTCGGGAACCCACTGGAGCTTTTTTAGTATCTCTATATTAAGAGCTAGCCTAGAGAGCATTTCCTAGGACACTTAAAAGCTTTCCCAGGCCTTCTGTGTTTATCCTAAATGTCTACAACATTTCTGATTACAAAAGAGTGAGTTTAAAAAGTCATCTTTAGTTTCAGAGATTTAGTTGCTGGCATGGAGTGTTGTGTGATGAGTAGTCCAAGCACCTGTTGCTATTTAAATATTTACTCTGACATGTAACATTAACATATAGAGAGCATGGTGTAATTTGAATATGACAGCCTTCCCTTAATAGAGTGGGAAAGTACACGTTTTCAAATAAGGGATTGTCCAAGAAATGGCTATCTTTTTATATACACATTTCTCAACCCACACAGATACTCCACTTTTTAAAAAATATAAAAAAGTAACAGTTTTAAGAATCCTGAAATGCATTAATCTGATCGTAACCTCACAGCTGCAGAGAAATTTTATACCTCCCGACTCACAGCTCTAATCACAGTCTCTTTTCCAAGTTATTATTTAATCTATGCTTCTCCTGGGAAATATGAAATTAATGTTTCATAAGAATGTAGATTTCTACCCTGAACCCAGGGGAAAAGTTTTCTAAGAATTCCTATATATTAAGTCTAATTTTGCATTTTCATACACACAAACACACAATTCCACTAATAAACTGATCACATTTTGTTTAAGTGTCTTAAAGGAATTAATAATTAAGTTAAATACAGTTAAATGTGATAAATACTATCACAAAGGATAGCAAAAGCTCACTTTATACAATGCAAAAAGCAAATCATTTTTTATCCACCTGAACGGTTTCTTCTTTCCCAGAATACTTTCCGATTTGAGTTTGCCCGCTGATGAAGATCCCTAAAACTGGATGTAATGGCTTGTTTTCAATTTGTTGATCATCAATATAGAGAGTCACATCTTGTTCTGCTACTAAGAGACGAATTTGATGCCAGCCTTCATCAAATAATATCTACAGGAAGAAAGTATGGAAGATTCATAAGTAAAATTCCTAACAATCTTTCTTTTTCTTTGTTCCCATTCCTTTGCTGCCAACCATAAATCCACACCACACAGACTGGTTGTATTATATACTAATTCACCCTGATCCAAGCTGGGTCTCAAATTCTACCCACCAATTAATTTATGAAGCCATACTTTCCATTACATATCCATTACATGTAAGTAGATGTATCAAACAATTTATTGAAACAACTCCCTCAAGGTCACAAATAAATTCCTAATCTCTGAATCCAAGTGGCTTCTATTCCTCATCCTATTCATTGCAACTTTAGATCCTTAACTAGTCCATCTTCCTTGATATTCTCATTCAACTTCCATGACTCAAACCATCTTGATCATCTTCATTTCCTTTTCTCCAATTGCTCATTCTCTATTTCTTCGAGGGCTTCTCTTCCTCACCTGCCTTTTGATGAGGTCATTAACCCACGGATCTGTCACTGACCTTTTTCATTCTCCCCTTTGATTATCCTATCTAATCTTACAGGTCAATATTACCTCTATAGAATATCTCCCATATCTACAACAGCCTGAACCTCTTTCCTACATATGGGATCTATAATTCTAATACTAGCTAGTATAGTTTTACCAGGATATTTCACAATCAGCCTGAGGGAGAGTATAGCAAAATGAACTTGAACTATCCCCAAAACTTTCTTCCTCTCAGTTTTCCTTGAATAATAATATCCTCAGTTTCTAAACTGCAATAAGTGTGTTTACCTCTTGCCTTTCCCTCAGTTGCAATAAGAACCAGATGCAAAGTTCTACCAAATATGTCTCTTAAATGACTCAAATTCACTTCACCATTTCAAACATTTTCATTGCTATAGTTTATGTTCATGGATATCTTGCCTTATCTGAATAATTTTCAAACATATCTCTAACTCTTCCCTCTCTAAGCCATCCTTCATACCTCCACTACAATTAATCTCTCTCACTAGAATTCTGTCAGAGAAGATGCCATATCTTATTAACTTCTGGATTCCCAGGCCTAGAGCAATTTCAGGATACAGATGAAAATATTTTTTATGAAAGAAAAAGGAGGAGAAGAGAGAGCAGCTCTGACCATGACACACCTATGATTCAAGACTTTTTGATGAAATCCTGTCATCCACTGGATGAAGCCCAAAACCCTTTGTATGCTTTCCAGATTCCCACAAATTGAACTTGCACCTTGTTAGCTTTTTCTTTCATGTATCTTATACTCCAGACACAGGGGACACCACTTCCTCTTCTTTAAATAAAAACCCCGCATTTTACTACACATGACTACTCAGTACTAAACCACTGACTTACATGTCCTTCGCTCTCTTCATCAAAATCCTATCTTCTTCAAGGTCCAGCCCAAAAAGCATCTCATTAATAAGACTTGCCTATATATTGTGTTAGAATCTACTTTTACCCCTACACTCCATTAATACCTGTACTTCTGTTAGATACCAGAGGCCTTCACTCTTCCATTATAAATAAGTTCCTTGAAGGTGTGAAACAGACCTTACTCATTTGTGATTTCTTACAGAACCTAGCATATTGACTTTAATAAAAATGGCAGCCAAATTTTTAAGAAATTTAATCTGCTTACCAAATAAATTATACAGGTGGCATAATTTCATATACAACCTTGTACATTTCCTAAATTATATACTCTTAGACTATAATTATAATCTGTATTCTGAACACATTTGACTTGAAAAATACACTTTTATCTTTAGTTTATCAATTTTACTAAATATACGCTCCTTTGGGGAAAACAAAGCATTCTCCTAATAAATGGGAATTCTGCACTCATTATCTACCTGTATTTAAGGTTCTAACAAATGTCTTTATCTCAGTATCTTATAGGACATGGCAGTGTAAGATGGACCAACATGACTTTGAAACTGATGAGACTTAACTTCAATTCCTGATGCCACCACTTACTAGCTGTGTTACTTTGAGATGGAACTTAATATAAACTTTTTTTTTTTTTTTGGTCTGTACAGTGAGAGCAATGGCTTCTGTGTTGGGTGGATATTATAATTAAATGTTCCTGGCATCTAATAGCAGGTACTCAAAAAATGTGAGGTCCCCCACTCCTTAATCCCATCTAAGAAACAACTTTCCTTCATTTGTTGCTTTTATTCAATAAAGCAACATTAAACTATGAAGTCAGTATCTTTTCAGCCATGTTAAAATTATGGCTCTCTTCCTCCAAAACACACAAACCTGGTGGTGATTCCCCCAGCAATACCATCATAATCATACCCAGGCATCTTTACCTTAACTTGAGAGTCAGCAAAAGTGACCACTTGTGAGCCATTAATTATGCTGGTTGTTATAAATAGTAATGTTTTATCCACACCATTTAAGGTAACAGCTATTTGTGGCCTTCCATCAATGGTTAAAATTCTCCATAGATCCCACATTTTCTTGACCTTAAATCTCTGAGTGGAGACAAATACATATGATGGAGGAAGACCTTCAGGGAAAACATTGCTAGAAAAAGAAGAATGTGCATAAGCTTAAAGAATTCTCAACATGTCTATAGACATATATAAAAAAAAGTTTATATCAACACATAACATATACCTTGTGAATTCTGATAAGTCAACTTTTGATGTCACTTCATATCCTTTTATCTTTGTTGGTGAAAGCATGATTCTTTTCTTAACCTTTTTCTTTACACCCAAGCCTAAAAGAATATCAAACCCTTTCTCATCACGAGCTGCCACTGGAATTCGTGTTGGACAGACAGACTCTATAAATCCAAAGCAAAAGCAGTAAACATTGATTAATCATGGATTACTTCAACAAGAAAATGAGAAATATTAGAGAAAATAATTATAAAATCTATATATGCACACAAATACATATAAATGGATGTAAATGCATTTTGAGAAAATGTGCAGGAGTGTTTCTGACATTTGAAGTCTCAAATGTTATTTTCCCCCTAAAAGGGGATAAAAGTAAAACAGAATTAGAAGAGAAACATTTGTTAATAGATTGCTTTAAGAACACTATGCTGACATTTATAAATCACTATTTTGAACGTTGGGCAACTTAATACCTGTGGGGTAGAATACTGGAATGGCATTGACAAGTCTCATCCAGGATTTACTATTAATTAGTCACATGACTTTGCATAACTCTTAAATTTCTTGGATCTAAGAGATTAACTCTAAGATTTCTTTCTTGCATTCCCAGCATTTGAGGGGTAAAAAAAATAAAAGCGTCATTCTTGATATTCTTTCCAGTTTTAGCAGATGATAATCCTATAATTCAAATAACATTGGTTCTATTACTTTGGAAAAAACTGTCTTTTCTGTTCATGAAAGTTCTTGAAATGGGCCTATTAGCTCATCTGTAATTAATTATATTAATCATATTTATATAAAGACTATTTCCTTAAGAATAATCATTAAAGGGCACCTGGGTGGCTCAGTCGGTTAAACGTCTGCCTTCAACTCAAGTCATGATCTCAGAGTCCTGAGATGGAGCCCAGCATTGGGCTCTCTGCTCAGCAGGGACCTGCTTCTCCCTCTCACTCTAACTCTGTGCTCTCTTGCTCTCTCTTAAATAAATAAACAAAAATCTTTAGGAAAAAAAAAAGAATCATTAATATTTGCATTATACAGTCATCTGTATAAATTATAAAAATATGGCATGCTTTTCACTTGCTGGGAAACTAGTATCTGAAATTACGTGGAAATTTTTATATGGTTGAAATGATATTAAGCTGTTATATTGTAGAAATGTTGCAATATTTTCAGATTCTTCCAAGGCCCTCATATAATATATACATTGAGCATGACTGCTTATATTTTATAGAGCAGCTAACAAAATAAAACAAGAACTCCACTAAACCTCTTTAAGATAATCACCCTCTTACACAACATTAACAGGGAATAGTATCATATTTATAATACAATAAAAAGTAACGAGATGAATTTTATTAGCCCAACATGTACAGTCATAATTTATACCATAGAATATTGGAAAATAAAATAAAGATTTGATATAAATAAAATTATAAGTATTCCTGGAAAAGGAGGGGCATTTTTCTCTTCAGGTCTTAAATCTTAAGTTTTGAAGTAACCCAATGAATTACATCTTTCTTCCTCTGGTAAGCTTGGAGCTAAGTGATGAGGAGATACAGGAATGAGGCAAACAGATGTTGGTTGGACATGTGATCCAGTGAGTTCAGTAGATGCACACCATAATGAACCCCCTCACACCACCCCAGAAGCACAGGGCTGACTTACTCCCTATCCCTCCTTAGAAACAGGGCCTGCCCACTAAGTTCACACCTGGTCTACAGAGGAAACCAAAACACACTAGCTCCACAGACACACTGATCCAAGGAGAAGACAGCTGAAGGCTCTTGGCCAACCATGACCAGCTACTTTTATCATACTCACTCATCTGAAAACTGATTTTCTCATTCAGTGGTAAGGAGCTAAAAAAGGGTGGGAGAGAGACCAGAAGAGTTAGCCTAGCTGAAATCCCTCCACATGAAAACATGAGAAGCAGGGTCTAAGTGTTTCTAGTAACAATCTATTATACAGTTTAAAACATAAATCAATTAATAAAACTAAGTATTTTATGTCATGATGCAGGGGTTCTTTTTTGGCAGGCAGTGGCGGGGGTGGGGGGAATATGCAGAACAATACATGAAGCCTCATGTCAGATGCATTTGATTTAAAACTGCAAAAGAAGTTCAGCTGAAAAGAAAACATTACATCATAAAAATATTCAGATTTGAATTGCTCCTTTCATTTTCCTTACAAATGAGAAATTATAAGATGTTGGATTAAGATCTCAGACTTAAGACAAGAACATGAGGTTTAGACTGAAGCCTCTCTCTTAACCTCTCCTGAACCTCTGGATTCTCATCTGTGAAGGGAGAATAATGATCTCCTTCACAGGGTTTGTCTGAGGATCAAATGCGATGATGTATGTGAAAGTGCTTTGTAACTCCAAAATGGCATGCAAGTGCAGGGGATAAAGCAAGCATTGTGTTCATCCCTTTGCTCTAACAAAGTCCTTTACACTATCTTGTAATACCCAAAATTTTATGGGGAAACAGTGTGGCACAGCTTGTGAAATCAAAAATGTACAATATAGCCATGTTTTCATTACTACCTAGCACATCTCATTAAGAAGTATAGATTTAAATAATTATGTTTACTTGAAGGTAATTTTTCTTCCCAATTCATTCACCTGCAAGAACAGTATCTTAACACATGGGAAGTGAAAAAAATGTAGTTAAAATGCTCAAATACAGTTTTTATGTTTGTATATACCTAGCTATAGGAAAGAGGTAAAAGAAGGTTCCATATATAAAATGCTACTTTGATTACCAATGAACAATTTCTGCACAAACTTGAGGAAAGAGAGGTAAATAATTAATTTCCCCATTGTGTAGAAAAAAGAAATCTATGTTTAAGTATACAAACCATATCCAGACAAAAATATGGAAACTGGAAATAAAAAGTGAAATGTGAGAACTATAATTTTAAGTATGAGGAAAATCAAATGCAAAGAGAGACTCAGTTGGGAGCTTGTTATAATACTTACAACAGGTAATTAGAACAATCCAGATAAACCAAGTTATTTTAAAGGAATGCATTCAGGAGCAAGGGTAAAGAAAACAGAAGACCGACATTCACAAATTATTTCTACACCATCTACACAGTTTTAACTTCATTTTATTCCAATATGTTCAGAATATTCAGGATAGGAATGCTTTCTCGGAGGAGCAAAGGTCACTCTATTTATTTTAAACCCTGGGAGCCAGTAATACTTGCTTTTTAGTTTGGTTGATTTATTTTTGCTTTTGTTTCCCTTGCCTTGGGAGGTAAGAAGTATCTAGAAAATTGTTGCCATGGCCTGTGATCTCTTCTAGGATTTTTATGGTTTCAAGTTTCACATTTGGGTCTTTAATCCACTTTCAGTTTATTTTAGAATGGGAGAAGGTATTTGCAAATGACATATACAATAAAAGGGGTTAATATCCAAAATATATAAAGAACTTAAAACTCAATACCAAAGAAACAAACAATCTAATTAAAAAAATAGAGGACACGAAGAGACATTTTTCCAAAGAAGACACAGACATACGAAAAGATGCTCAATATCACTAATCATCAGGGAGAGACAAATCAAAACCTCAATGAGATAGCACCTTACACCCGTCAGGATGACTAAAATCAAAAAGACAAGAAAAAACAAGTGTTGGCAAGGATGAGGAGAAAAAGAAACCCTTACGCACTGCTGGTAGGAATGTAAATTGGTGCAGCCACTGTAGAAAACAGTATGGAGGTTCCTCAAAAAATTAAAAGTAAAAATGCCATATGATCCAATAATTCTACTACTAGATAGTTACCCCCCCAAAAAAAACAAAAGCACTAATTCAAAAAGATATATATACCCCTATGTTTGTTGCAGCATTGTTTATAATAGCCAAGATATGGAAGCAACTGAAATGTCCACTGAAAGACAAATGGATATACACATACACAATGGAATCTTATACAGCCATAAAAAAGAATGAGACTTAAAAAAAAAAAAAAAAAGGATGCGATCATGCCATTTGCAACAACATAGATAAACCTAAAAGGGAGTATGCTAAGTGAACTAATACAAAGAAAGACAAATACCATATGATTTCACACACACGCGGAATCTAAACTTGTTGAATCACTATGTTGTGCACCTGAAACTAATGTAACATTATATGTCAACTATATTCAAAAAAATTTTTTAAGTTTTTAAGTGATCGATAGAACCCAGAAAAAAATATTCACTTTTCTATTAATTCTCAGGACTTAGTAATATAAGTAATCCAGTATTACCAACATCATAAAAACGTGTCTTATTTAAAATTCTGCCATGGACATGGGCACAAAAACTGTATAAATCTTTAGTCTAACCAGAGCAACCAAATTCCAACTACACCTTTCTAGCTTTAAGTTACTATCACAGGAACACTGATGAACACATTATTCTAGAACATATCTAGCCTACTTTATAAGTGTCTATTTAGTTCAATTCCACATTGCCACATTGTTCGTATGTCACCTCTCTCCAGATGTCACCTCGTTTTTTTTCAGATTAAGGGAATTCTGTCAAGGAGATCTGTGGTCAGAAACCAAAAGTAATTTTACTGATCCAGACCTGATAGTCCAATAAAACAGAGTTGTCTGGTGCAGATCTGTGCAAGCCGACTTCTTCAAACTTTCCTTGACTGAACTTGGTTTTGACGGTAAGGCAAACATGAGTGTATATCCAATTGATACATACCCCTCAATGGTATTCAGTGGCAATTTAATACATCTGCCTTACTGAAGGTCTATTATATCATCATGTACTTTAATGTCATGCACAAGTTCATCAAAAGGAGGAACAGTCACCATTGTTCCAATTTAGTACCAAGGTTGTGATAACTTAGACTTCATCATAACATACTGAAAATGCAATAAAATAGCAAAACCATATTTAATAAATTATGGAAACAGAGATACTCTTACCAAAGATTAATTAAATAACAAAGAAGGTAGCCCCAACTTCACACAATTTCTTTTCTCATTACAGACTGATCTCATCCTCCTTTACCATCAAGCAATCCCACTTTCTTGAAATCTAGGTTGATTTAGAGTCAACAGTCCTTCATCTGAGGAAGATGTCTGCCAGATGCATGGCTGACAGACAATGAGACACAGTAAGCACAGATTTCAATGGTAAGTCAATGGAATAAGA